ATATATACCTTATTCACATACTAATAGAATTCAAATTAGCCTACAATCGTCAGATTAATTGTGGTGCTTTTTAAAATTGTATTATATGTGATTTAGTTTAAGGTTCATTTTTCAATAACAATGCAAATGTCTTCAACAATCATTGCCTAAACTTCAAGATATTATTCTGATGAAATAGATATTTTACTGTAACATATTCAAACACACATTCATATTGTATGCACGTTTAAACAATTATATATATTTATGTATTCCTAGTATATGTTGTGAAAATTTTATCTGTATATTTTTTCTCCATATAAATTATGATAAAAGATTGAAATTTAACTATAGTTGTTGTTGATGTAAATATTTTAGTATTGAAACTAAAAAAGGTCGTATAAAAAACACTAAATAATCAACACACACGAAATTGGACTTAATTTCAAAGGGCATAAGAGTGAAAATTATCTATCAAAGTTGTCCAATGTTGATATCTTACTATATTTAATATAAAAACACAATAACTACATTCTATAGTCTATTGAAGAATGGCAATTGCATGTTACTAAGGCTATGAAAATGTTGAAATAATACTTATGTTAATTTGAGCAGTTTGATCTTTTGTTCTTTCTAACTTTTTTTTATATTACAAGGTAGCAAACGAGCGAGCGGCCACCTGAAATCGCTAAAATATCGAAGTGACCGTTGCCCATAGATATACGCAATTGCATATGCGTTGCTTACCTTTAATCGAAGGAGGAGAGGATGCACACAAAGAAAATATTTTCCCTTTCCATGCATCCTCTCATCCGCAAAGTCCACTTCCACTTCTCATCCTTTCCTTATAAGAAAAATGGTGGGAAGGGAAAGAGGACTAAATTAGGCCTCCGGGACGCACACTCATCAGACTGTACGCGAAATAGCTTCCACTTGAGGCGTGTCTTCTGTGTGGTCGTGGTATTACACCGGGCGAGCCGGGACAATTCTTGCGAACATGTTAAAGCGGGCTCTACCACTGTTAAAATATATTAAACACAACACAAACTGACTAAATTAACATCATCATCAGCTCACTATACGTCCCCACTCAGGGTCTGAGCCCACCCTAAGTTAGTGACTAGGACATAGTTAACCATTGCCCAGTGCGGGTTTGAATTTCTTCTTAGATATGTGCAGGTTGCATTACGATGTTTTCCTTCACCGTAAGAACTTCGGAAACTTAATATGATTGAAATAAGATAATTTCAAAGGAGAAACAAATTTGAAATATAGATAGAAATAGAAAACGAAAATGCAAAAGAAACTTTTTATTTTGGCCGGTAGATGGCTACAAATATAATATTTCTGAGTCGATAGATTAAGATTTAGAAGAAACTTTAGTGGATTTCTTTTTTGTAAAATAGATTTGGATGAAACTGAACTGCTCAAATATTGTAACATAGTATGTTTGGTGTGTGATAAAATGCATACAATTGCTAGTCTTATGCATTTACTTCTGTCTTGTGTGTGGGTATTTAGAAAATATTAAAAATACTAGCAGTTGCTTTCAGGTGTCGCTTATTTGAAATTCAATATTGTATAGTCGTATTTATTTTTTATTTATATTGAATTGCAGCCAGAATTGTTAACACGTTAGCTGCCAGAATGATTTTTCGAAACGAAAAAAAATGACCCGCTGTTTATAAGTTTTATGGGGCCTTGCGGGGTCACGCTGTATACAACAATTCTATTAAAAAGCGTCCGACAAGCCACAGCGAGGTGTTGAATGGAAGTATGGCTTGTCGGACACATAGTCCGTCATGGCAGCTAACGTGTTAACGATTATGTTGATATCCCACTCATTCTTATTGAATAAATAGAGATAGTGATATTTTTAAATACGATTAGATAGTACAAATCTAATGTTAATTAATTTTGAAAAAATCTTCTCTAGAGTCTTTCTAGCTCCTTTACACATAATTTTATAACTACCCTATGTAGATTTGAAAGTATGGCTAAATGTTTTCTACATACCCTCACACGAGATTTGTTAAGTTCTAGATAACTGTTGTTATATGAACTATTTTTCGTGCATTTACTGTAATCCCTTTTTAAATGTTATAGTCTTTAGAAATGGTGATATTTAAAAAAAAACTACTGTCTTGTTGATAAAAGTAATTGTGTAAATATAAAGAAAGAATTGTTGTTTGAATTAATAATAATTAGATATCTGTTTCTATTTCCATTGATGGAATTACAAACAGAAACTCGTTGTTTCACACTTTTCTTGGAAAATGAGAGAGATGGTGTTTTGTGAAATTGTTTCACCAATGGGAAGACAGTGTTATATTTACTTATATAAATTCTGTATGTGTAAACATTTGTTAAATAAATAATACACAGAGAGTTAATACAATTAAGTCAACGTAAGTGGTATATTTTAACTTGCAATAATCTTTATATGTGCAGTCAAAGAATTAAATTCATTACCCACGTAGGATTGAATATCTTATAACAATCACCATAAATGCTATAATTTAGAAAGAATATACACAACTAACTGCAAGCGGATAGTAAATAAATATCCCCGACTGTACATAATTATTAATATACAATTTTAAATGTGGCAATCTTTATATTATAATATATAATGTTAATATTCAAGTCTGCGGCATAGAGATATCATATTTAGAGTGCTTTGATGTTGACATACAAGAAAATAAAATATGTATTTTTAAGAAATTACTAATTAAAAAGAGAATTTTATGCTACTATTTTTCTATCCACAGTAAATGTTGGTTGTTGACATGTTTAATGTAGGATGTTCTGATAGCTCTCTTGAGTATTAGCTTGACGCACGTAGACGTCTGCTCTCGTCGACGGTTTTGATAGCAATGACAAAATTTTGACAGCTCAGTGCTACTAACATTGCTCCACTGAGTGTGGGCAACATTGCCACACTACATTTAAGATTATGTCGCATACAAAATATTATATTTACACATAATCAAATATTTAGTTTATATTATAAAACAGTAACATTTACTCTATTGAAAGAAAATCTATTCTAAAAACTCTTTGTATAATATCTCTATAGACTTTCGTCTAAATGTTACGACTGCATAATTGCATGACAATAAGTTATATAGAATTATATTTTTCTGATTCAATCGCGGTATCACAAATGCATATTTCGCAATTGTATATTTAGCACGATATTTTTACTTTGACACATAAATTTTTCCTTATCTCTACAGCCAGATGCATTTAATATTGTTCCTTTTATCTAATCCCATTTTTCCAGTTTAATTAAAAAATATTTGTTATAGATGTTAGGGTAATTTTGCATTTCGCCATTGGAGGTCTTTTTTGTTATCTTTTAGCAAAATAATGAAGTAATTACACAAAATAATTCACACTTTGAACTTAACAAAATTTATCTTTGAATAAAGCTTACTGGACAGCACTAAAACGTTATGTTTCTCTGAAAAAAAAACCGCCAAAAATCACGCGTCAAACTAGTAGAAATGGCGCCAAACTTTTGTTTCTAATATGGTGTTGCCCGCCTATATGAATTGTTCTTCCTTGTTAAAAAATTATAATGTAGCTTATGTATTGAATAAGGATAAAAGAAAAAAAAATATAGCAAATATACTACAAATTAATTACACTATTATTGCTCGATCATTTAACGACAAATTTCTAATTTTTACACCCTTTTTTGCTCATTTATCAACATTAAGTCAACGTGATTTAGATTCATAATATTGTAATAGGTAATTTTTTTGTGTCTTGTATTTTATGATGTAGATTAAAAACCGCATCTTAATTTAATATAATTTTATAGTCAAGTCTTCTAATTACGTCAGGTATTGTTTTTAGAAATAAATTTATTGTGACAAAATTTACTTTTAAAATTTATGATGCATTTACGAGTGAGTTGACGTGGCAATATTTTATCTGTAAGCTTTAAAATGATGTTTATATTTTTTTAAATTGTAAAACGTCTATATTTTAACTGTGGCAACGACAATACTGTTATGTATTGCTCAAGTGTGCTCATTTATTTATATGTCTTTTTTCTTCATTGATATTATTTTTGTATTGTATGTGTATAGGGAATTATTTCAATTTGTGTGGAAATATGTATTTTACGTTTTTATCAATTGATCTGTGACATTGGCGGGTTCCGTCAGAATTGTATTAGAATAGATGAATAAAAATAAACGTTTACTTAGAATCATTATATTATATTTGTTTTAATAACTTGACCAAAATTCTATTAATTTTTTGCAGTTGCAGTTTTTGTTTACCAAATTAAAGAACAAGATAAAGTCAATATGGTCGAAATTGTGTTATTCTTTATGTTTTCGCGTTCAACAATAGAAAAGCAGCTCTTCGCGCCAAAACACTGGCGGTGAGAGTACTTGACAGTTCTGACCATAGACACGATAAGGTAAGTTATCCCTGTAGCCTACAATAATAGTGGGAATGTTCGCGCTATTTATGGGAACATGTTTTAGGTTTGAATAAAAAAATGCCTTTGTCATTTTGATGCTTTTTTGGCAATTGTAAGTTTTTAAACCATGCCTTAATTGCTTCTCTCTGGACATTTCTTATATTTGTATAGACTTAAAAACGGCAATTTTTATTGACCAGGATTACCATCTTGTGATAAATTTTACTGATATTATAAATGCGAATGTTAGATGGATGGATGGGTGTTTGTTTGAAGTTTCTCCGGAACGGCACAATGGATCGTGATTAATTTGGCACAGATGTAGAACATAGTCTGGAAGTACACATAGGCTACATATTAAGTGTTTTTTTTTTAAGTTGACAGCTATTATTTTCATATGAATGAAAATTAAATTTAGTAAACACTGCAGGAACTGTGTGAGCTTAACAATACTGCAACCACAGTCAGTATAGCCAAAACCGTTTTGGTTCATTTTATATATTCCTTGAGATATTTTTTTGTTGTAAAACCTATACGATGGATGGATAAGGCTGAAGGAGGAAGAAATAAAAGAAAAATGTAACTTTATATTGTTTAATAATATAATATTGACGTAAACTACCTAAATTCGTGAAACTTCTTTTAGATAAGCAGTCTTATAATGAAGCGTTATATTCGTTAACAAAGTTTGGTTAGGAATTAACCATAAATAACCCTCATACTTTCAAGGCACATCCTTATATTACGGTCACAATTCTACCAATTAGGCCAGCAAGAAAACAGCCCATCAATCTTAATGCTGCCATTTATAAAAATAAAAATATAACTTACAATAAAAATTTAATCACAACAAACCTTTAAACAAAATATGAACATTCCCAATTAATTTAAGATCAAATTTCAATTAAATAAAATTAATTAATGTAATTAATGTCAAATTATTTGTAGACACCTTTATATAGTTCTAATACAGGCAACATTTTACAACCCAAAATATAGCCCAATTGGAGGCATAGATCTATTGTAACTTGTTATACACATTTTATCTATCCTTACTGACTTACTGGCTTTATATAAGGGCAAGTTTTTATAACACTGCTATACCTTATAATAAATACATCAACAAAATACTGTTTAAATAATCATCAAATCATACTCTAAATGGATACTTAAAAAGTTTTTACCAAATAACCAGCAAAACATGACACCTGTGTCTAGTGACACAAAATGATGGTATTTTACCATAGTTTTTAAAAGAAACGTAAGACATAACATGTGAATACAGATCCCACCTTAAATAAAGTCATTGTTATTATTCATATTTTATTCTAGCACTTGACTACAGTAACACTGGTCATCACTCATATCTCATCTCTTTTGTTTCCTTTGAAAAAAAAAAAGACAATATGTGTCATACAACTGTCACTTTAGTTAAAATTTAATGTTAATTTTACAATGAACATTAACAATGACTATACAGAGAGCTTAAAATGTTTTAAGTTAAACGATTGTACTATCATTTTAAACGGACAGAATAAGTGTAGTGCATATATAACATTAATAAGAAATTAACAACCATTAATTTAACAAAAAAAAAACTTATCAAATTATAACATTACATAAAAATATGGCAGTATATTTTGTAGCAATCCCGCATTAACTATAATTTAAAAACCAAGTCATACATACTTTATAGCTACTTTTATTCACATGAAACGTTGCACAGAACAATTCACCAACTTGTGAAGACCTATGCTTGCAGTTAAAACTTTCCATTGCACTCTAAAATCAAATTTACTATATAAAAATATGAATTCATGATAAATGGCAATAGGCACTAGTATGGGCCTTAAACTCCTACGTTTGCGAAGGAAACTTCTATTATATATTTTTAAAGTCTATAAACAATCCTATGCCGCATCTATTCTAGCTTTTAAGCATATTTTAACTCTACAAAATTATTTTCTTTGAGTATCATAAGTCTACAACATGTCTCTTACATTTTCACTTGAACTTCTCTCCCATATTTGACCAGATTTATACAATCTATAAACTCTATTGCTCAATAATTCTTGTGAAAACTGTGTCATTGCACCTTCGAGTTTGTGAGGAAAGACTTGCAACTGTGTCTCATTGTATCCACTCAGGCTATACTTCTTGCTGTCTCTACATTCTGTGTATTTGTGTGCAGCGAGCATTTTCTCGGGAATTACTTGCATTTTTTCTAAAGAAATGTTGAATATTTCATCAAATGTTGAAATTGCATCGAGGTTTCTTATATGTGTAAATGGAGTGTTATCAGGCAAATTAAAATAATGCCTTTTATTAAATATATCAGGATATCCAATAACAGCATTATCATCTTTGGGTTGGTTCAAACAGAATAAAAGTGTATATGCAACCATTTGTAATGATCTCATGGGATCAAAATCTCCGATTACACTTTTAATATTATCATGAACACGAGGTACTAAAAATTCATCCCAAGAGAGCACAATCACATGGCTTACTTTATCGGCTTCTTCTTTATCATATTGAAAATGTCTGAAGAGGCAATCTAACTCCACCGCAATACGTACTATATAGTAAGACTTTGAAAATATAAATGGGTAGTTTAAAGGGAAAAATTGTATGTTCCATTGTGTTATATCAGATGGTAATAAATTTAATCTTCTTATAACATCTTCTGATATTGTACTGTCATATATTGTAAAATAATTGACACCCATCATTTGATGGAACACAAGAAATTCAATAAATGAATCTCTTGAAACAATAGGAACTCGATTTGGTAACACACAAATAGCTGGTACAATATTATTGACAAATTTTATATTGCTCATTTTTCTAGGCTTGCGTTTTGTATTCACTTCAATAAGTCGATTAATAGGAGCATGGATAGGATTTATGTTATAATCATTTACATAAAAACTTATTCCTTTTGGTTTACCAAAGTCTTTGTTCGTTATACACCGAAATACATACACAGTAAAATTTACATGTTCAACAATTACTTTGTGGGTAAAACGTCCAGCTTTTGGTTTAGATTCATTCTCAAACCAAATATTACAGCGGAAAGCAGGATTTACATTGGTCTTGCCAATAACAATAGTATCGATACTGTGAGCATAAGATGGAGTCAAGGTCTGATACTTTTGATACGATCGTAAGAACGACGAGTAGGAGTAAAAATTTTCATCTATCTGTTGGAATAGTGGCGGAGTTTCGCGAACTTCCATAGAAGAATTTCGGAGTATTTCAGACAGCATTGTGGCATTAAATCCTGGTCCACAGAACTCTATCTCCGATAAGCCGGGCTTGCCGAAAAAGTTAAGCACCTCCAGAACATATCGGAGACGATAGTATTCGTGACGGTAAATCAAAAGTGTTACAATACTAATAAAGCTGATTAAAACCAAAATCAATTGATAATACTTGCGCATTATGTTCTTTGACGATTTTCTCGGAGTCTTCATTTACACTTGATAATTTTATCTTAGCCGGCTCAGCACTGACGAAATAAAATGTGTATAACTAATGCAAACATGTGTGGCCGTGGTATGTTACTTGTAAAACTTGAAACAGATTACAGTACTGTTATGAGAACAGAAACAGAACATAATACTCTGACAAACAATATGATGTTGATAAGAACTCAAATTGCACTCCTTATTTCATTCTCATGAAATAGTGAATTGATATTTGATGATACATGACATCTGAGAGTCACGACATCGACATTCGTCGTTGACATTACGTTACGACACCTGTCAACCTGACACCTGAAATTTTTTGACCTGACATCAGGTACAGGAGACCACAGAAAGTATGGATGGATTTTTTTTTTATATCATAAGGTGGCAAACGAGCGAACGGCCACCTGAGATCGCTGAAATAGCGAAGTGACCGTTGCCCATAGACATACGCATTTGCATATGCGTTGCCTACCTTTAATCGACGGAGGAGTGGATGCACAGAAAGAAAATATTTTCCCTTCCATTGCATCCTCTCATCCGGAAAGTCCACTTCCACTTCCCATCCTTTCCTTTTCTTAGGAATTGTGTGAAAGAGGATATGGGTAAGAAGGGAGTTTATTCAGATGCTGATAGAGATGTTTGGAGGAGTAGTATATACTTTTCCAGTCCTTCTTAGGTATAAAGACAGGTTGATAATGCTTCAAAGAGATTTTTTTTTGGAAATGCAAAGTCAAGCTGCATAGCCTACACATGTGCATATAGAGTTCGAGAACACCGTTATTGTAATTATACTCTGCGCTACACTATCCAACGATAACTTGGCTATGACATGAAGCCGCAAAGCCGAATGTCAAAGTCAAAAAAACTAAGCAAGTCATCGATGATTTCTAGTTTTCTAGTTACAAAAGATTTTGTTTCACGTGGTGTTTTAAATCTATATTATGTCTGTTAATAAGGAAGATACATTGCGGCAGTTTTGTGATGTAACTGGTGCTGACGACGCTCGAAGCAGATTCTTTTTGGAATCTTCCAATTGGCAACTTGAGGTGAATGTGCCGATATGATAGTTTCATGTTTCTTTTATTTTAATTTTCTATTTGCTATTATTTCATATATTGTTATTTGCTCGCATTGTCTTAATCACGATTATATTGTAAAAGATAAAATATAACTTCTTAATTTATCTTACATGGGTAAAGTAAAAACTTTCAAAAGCAAGTGCATTTAAATATAAACAACTAATCGACTTGCAATAAGTCAACATAAATCTTATTTGAAAAAATCTTCACTTATAAAACCTAATAGGTGCTAAATGCTAGAAGAAAAATTAGCAATGAATCTGCAGTCTTTCAACTCACTACTGATGTCTATGGGCTGTGGTCACTTCTCTCTTTTCATGACTAATGACAACTTAGTCTTTAGTCACTTCCTACTGTAAAAATGTGATTATTAATTTTTTTTAAATAAATGTCAAGGTGGCACTGTCCAGTTTCTATGAGCACGGAGGGAACATAGACGAGGCTCCCGCTAACCCTGCACCTGCAGCTGCATTACCCATTATGTCGGACAGTGATATGGAGTCACCGCCCGCATCACCTGTGTTGCCCGTAAAGAAAGACAAGAAGAAACAACCACCTACTAAGTTTGCTACATTACAGTCACTACAACAGGATAGTTCGAGTGATGAAGAAGAAGGTATGTTATGGTCATACTTAACGATTAACAATTGCTTGACCAGAAACATGGTCTGGTCTGGCTATAAATGGTTTCTCTCATTAGGTGTCAAATAAAAATAGGTGTAAATATATAAGAAATAGCCAGGTTGTTAGTAGGGAGTCTTGGTAGTAAATACTGTGCCAGGTTTATTATTATTGGAAAAAAACTTAAATATTATTCTACCACACCACATTTTTGTATTTTTTTCTGTGTATTATTTCTTTAATTCATTGCCTAAAGATAAATGAATATTAATAAAGATATATTTTTTTCTGTAAACATTTGAATAATTCTTGAATTATTTTAAAACAGATAAAAATGTTAATGGCAAAATATGTTCAACATATAAATGTGTAAAAGCGACAACAATAAATAAAACCAATAGAAATTATTATGAATTAACATCCCAATCAGAAATTCATGGAAATTGCTCTGATTGTAAGAAAGAGATAGAAGAATTAAAGAAAAAGATAGAGGCATTAAAATTAGAGAATACCAAATTAAAAAATGAAATACAGAATCTGAAGGAAAGCTCTGTTGATACAAATGAAACAGGTTATTATTATAATAATCATAACCTTTTATTAGCACAAAAGCTCTTATCCGCGTCTTTTTCTGCACGAAATAAAAAAAAGCTTAATAAATAGCCTATGTGATCTTCCAAAGTATGTTTTACATCTGTGCCAATTTTCTTTAATATCCGTTAAACTGTTATAGGGATAAATAGTAACAATCCATCGAAAATTTTGTATTTATAATATTAGTATGATAAACTTTATCTTTATGTATGTACTAGCGGTCGCCCGCGACACCGTCCGCGCAAGAATAAAAACATAATTATTAGCCTATGTGTTCTTCCAGACTTTCTTCTATATGTATGCCTAATTTCATTGCAACCTGTTCAGCCGGTCTGGCGATACCTTCCAACAAATATCCATCTGTCCACTAAACATTTGCGTTAAAATATGTACAAAGTAAGATAGGATAATTTTGTTATGAAACAATATAGGTCATCATATGTGATTGTTTCAGGTGAAGCTTTCTATGCTGGAGGTTCAGAGCGGTCTGGTCAGCAGATCTTGGGGCCAGGAAAAGGTCGGAAAGATATTGTATCAGAAATGTTCAGGAGTGTCAGAGCGTGAGTATTATTTTTATCACCAAAAGTCTTATTTAATTTTAAATGATTTGCTAATTTAGAAATATTTTTTTTTTTGAAATGACAAATATATTTCAACCAGGTGTTAAATATTTCTCGAAAATTTGTAGTAATCATGTATTTGACATGAAGATCATCATCATCATTATCATCAGCTCACTATACGTCCCCACCGAGGGGCTCGGAGCCTATCCTAGGTTAAGGGTGATAAGGCCATAGTCAACCACGCTGGCCAAGTGCGGATTGACTTCACACATATCTTTAAATTTCTTCTCAGATATATGCAGGTTGCATCACGATGTTTTCCTTCACCGTAAGAATGTTAGATAAATGTACATATGTAAATCGGAAATCTCAAAACACATTGGTATATAGTGGTATTCGAACCGAGGACCTGCAGATTGCAAATCAAGTGCTCGACCTCTGAGCCACCGACGACGACATGAAGATGATTTTCTTTATTTTTTAAGTTAAAATACTGTCGGGTCTACTCAGTACATTGATCCCAAGTTTCATCACTTAAATAAACTTTTACTTTTGATATTTGCAGACAAGGTGCAGTGGTGTTCGACAATGAGCCGACTTCATCCAGCAGAGGGCATGGTGTGTTCTCCGGGGTCGGGTACAGGCTTGGTCAGTATCATTTCTAACACAAAGTTAAACACTTACTAAGAAAATGATTTAAAGAGCAGATTGTAGATATATTATAGAGTAGATTGTAGATAGATTATAGAATAGATTGTAGATGGAATATAGAGTTAATTGCGGATAGAATGTAGTGTAGATCATAAATAAGGTGTGTAAATTTAATTGCACAGTTGTTTACGGTCACCGATTTGACCTTAGTGTAGTTTTTAACCACATAGTATTGTTTGATGGCTACTAAGGGACCATATGATTTTTATTATTAAATATATTTACAGGACAAACAGCGGACGACCACGAGCAAATAGCGCCGCCTAACAGAGAGCAAGAGGTAATGTTATATTGTTGTCACAAAATAACTAACCAATTCATATAAATGATAATGTACGTAAATTAAATTAAATTATTCAAACATTCGTGAGACATTATACTAAACTGATATATAAACACGGCTAAAGTGTGTCACTAGTGAGCTGAGGGCCGCGTCCGCGAAATAATACCAGTACCACTCATCCTGATAAAGGGCCCCCGATGGGCTCGAAACTAGTCGGTGCCGCCACCGGACGAATATACGTCAGTGTTTAGCCGTGTTTATATATCAGTTTAGTAAATTAAATTCATTAAATTATTACTTATTTTCCTATTCAAGCTTCAAAAAATATTATCCAAAACATTTTTTTGATTTTGGGGTGTTCAAAAATAAAAGCAACGCACTCTTCAATCAAATGTTTATTATGGAATTATAATTATAACTTTACACAAAATATACACAAAACACTACGATATAAGAAATATAAGTAATTTAAGGAAATTAAGGACAACACTTTTCTCCGCTCATCGTTAAAACTCACTCTTTTTTCTACTGAAAAATAACAAAAAACTCCTTGATATAAGAAAGAAATAAAATGTGACAGCGTCACTATGTGCCAGTATCTTTTTACTTTTTTAGTGGCGCCCTCTGACGTAATGTCATCGAATTACGCTTACACATCGGGGATTTCTTAACTCTTTTGTGTTTCGCACACTCCCATCAAATGTATTTCTTTTCTCTGTCACACCTGTTTCGCTTTTTTTATTGTTTAAAATTACAATAGAAATTTTTAAATAAGAATAATCTTTTAATATGACATCTCGGTTATAATGACTATATATATTCGATTCGATGTTCTAACAGTTTTTCTTAAATTGAATAGCAACAAAGCCGGTCGGTGCGACTCCGGCTGTACCGCGAGGGGTTCACGGTGAACGATGGCCCCATCCGACTTTACAATGAGCCAGAGAATGCTCAGTTCCTCAATCATATACGTCGAGGGTGAGTTTATATGAAAAAGTTTCCTAAAATTTTACTTATTACTTCTTACTAATATTGTAAATGGGAAAGCTTAGATATCCATCCATCCACTTGGATGGATGGATGTTTGTTTGACCTTCAAGCCTTCGTCTCCAGAACGGCTGCATGGATCTTGCTGAAATTTGGTATGTTGTATATGTTGAGACCATCGCTGGCTTAGGGATTTCAGCACTTGACTTGTAATCTGCAGGTTCTGGGTTCGAATCCCGCCATGTACCAATGTTTTTTACGATTTACATATATACATTTAACTGACGTTCTTACGGTGAAGGAAAATATTGTGATGCTGCACATATCTGAGAAGAAATATAAAGACATGTGTGAAGTCACCCCGCACTGGGCTATGGTTGACTATGGCCTAGTCACCCTTAATTTAGGGTAGGTTCCGAGCCCCTCAGTGGGTACACACACATAG